TCTTTCTTAAGGACTAAGAGATAGTCTACGACTCACATCCGTATGTAGCCACAGGGAAGATGCATGCTCTCAAAATTCTAATTTTTATCTCCTTGCTGGTGCTTAATCATAGACTTTTAAGGTTTTTAAGGCGGATACCACCACAGACAAATTATAGTGGAAATGGACAAAACATTGATTCCAGGCTGCGACCCAATAAGATGAAATGACTCAGTGTTTGCATTTTACGGCCATAACTATTTTGTTTCTGAACGAATCTCTTAGCAACTATATATTACTGGAATCGGGACAGCGAGACCTAACTGTATATGCATGTCTAAAATACACACACTTCAATATGCGCCCAATTAGCATATGAAAATGGTCGCAGGCAGACAATTTTTCAGCAAAAACCTTATACATTTATGGTTGTCTGCCAATGAGCCTGACAAAATGCACATCATATTCTGTGCCCTGATAAGGCGAATATAAGGATCATATAAATGTAAGTTGACGTGACCTAATTAACATATAAAAATGGCGGCTTTAACGGCCGCATAGGGTATACAGCCTCAAAAACTAAGAGATGATCTCTGAGATGCTTAGCTGTTCTTCTTGCCATTACTGTACAGGGTTCGCAGAGGGCCTTAAAACCGGGGAAAAGGTCGGGAAATGCATGATACCTCTCAAGGTCTGGAATTTAAACAAAAATGAAAACTGATGACAACCCTGGAACTTTATCCACAAATCTTTAAACTTTACTAACCGTAACTTTGATGTGTAAGTAAAGGTCGCTTTTCCAAGCCTTTAGGAGAATAGGGAATATAGGGCTAGACCAATATTGTAATAGATCAATCAGCACTTGGTGGGTGATGCCGTCAGCATCACTCCGGCCGCCTTTACTTCCCAGGACTGCACCTGGTACCCACTCAAGATTGGGTCAACCTAGGAGTCAAGGTCATTTCTGAAAGCAAAAAAAAAAAAAAAAGTCCGGCTTTGTCAGGACGCGAGCCAACGACCTTCTGATCCGCAGGCTGGCGTCTAGCCGCCAACACCACAAATATAAATGATTGATAGTTATTATTACTTTTAGTAGACTACTACCACATATAATTATACTGTTATTTAATAATAAGTAAACAAGCACAGTCAATATGAAATTGATATGTGCAATAATTTTTCACCTAGAGCAGTTTTCTTCACAGTTCTTATAGCACTACTAAATATTTATCATCAAGGTGCAAACAGCACAAACAAATTTGTCCAGTTTCATCTTGTTGAGTGAAATCAGTTCTTTATCATTGTGAACTTTCTGGTAACTGTTTAAAAATAACTCACACATATTTCTGAATACTGCATGCAACAACGCGTATAAGTATCATGAATGGTATATTATTTTAAAGGTAAGTGAAGCACATTAATACATACCATATAACTGCAAATGCTGTGCAACAAACACATATCAAACACACAAATTCCCCATAAAGATACCGGGTATCGTTGTTCAAAACAGTGTCTGGAACAAGACCAAAGCCCAGAAGTGGATGAACAACCAGAAGTTTCTGCCAGAGTTTACAGCCAGTGATCACAGACCACACAACTTCAAATATGCATAAGAAGTAGATGAACAACCAGAAGTTTCTCCCAGAGATTACAGTCAGTGTTCGCGAGGCAGAAGACGATTCACAAAAAATGAACACAGACCGTACAACTGCAAATATGCATAAGAAGTAGATGAACAACCAGAATTTTCTCCCAGAGATTACAGTCAGTGTTCGCGAGGCAGAAGACGATTCACAAAAATGAACAGAGACTGTACAAATGCAAATATGCATAAGAAGTAGATGAACAAACAAAAAATTTTTCAAGAGTTTACAGCAAGTTATTGCGAAGCCGAAGACAATTCACAAAAAAGAACACAAATGGCTGAGAATTAATATTAGTGTACTTTTACAACATATAATTATACTGTTAGTCAACAATTAGTAAAGAGGCAAAGAGTGATTTGCTGTGAGAGGTTAGTTAGTAAATATTTTTTTTTTCAATTACCCAGAGCTCCAAAATATCTACATGGACTGACTGTTTGACTAACTAACTAATTTACTGACTGCCTGACTGACTGACTGACTGAATAACCATTTAACTAACCAGCTAGCTAAAAAACTAATTAACTAACTAGCTAAGTGACTAACTAACTAACTAACCAACTAACTGACTAACCGACTGACTAACTGCCTGACTGACTAACTAACTAACAATTTAACTAACCAGCTAGCTAAAAAACTTATTAAGAAACTAGCTAAGTGACTAACTAACTAACTAACTAACTAACTAACTAACTAACTAACTAACTAACTAACTAACTAACTAACTAACTAACTAACTAACTAACTAACTAACTAACTAACTAACTAACTAACTAACTAACTAACTAACTAACTAACTAACTAGCTATCTAACTAGCTAACTAATTTACTAACTGACTGACTGACAGACTGACTGACTGACCGACCGACCGACCAACTGACTGACTGACTTACTGACTGATTGACTGACTTACTGACCAACTGACTGGCCGACTGACTGACTGACTGACTAACTGACTAACTAACTAACTAACAATTTAACGAACCAGCTAGCTAAATAACTCACTAACAAACAATTTAACGAACCAGCTAGCTAAATAACTAATTAACTAACTACCTAAGTGACTAACTAACTAACTAACTAACTAACTAACTAACTAACTAACTAACTAACTAACTAACTAACTAACTAACTAACTAACTAACTAACTAACTAACTAACTAACTAACTAACTAACTAACTAACTAACTAACTAACTAACTGACCGACTGAATAACTGACTAAGTAAGAAAGTAGTTAACCAAGTAACTGGCTAGCCACTGATTAGTGATTAAAGAATCGACAAGACAGCATACAGTTTTCATAATCAATGCTTTTTATGGGTAATATCTTACCCCAGATGACGTCACAGAACAGTCCAACATTTTAGAGGGTGGTGAGACTGGGTATCCCGGCTTTCTGATTCTGTTAACCACAAAACATCTAGAACTGGCTCTAACTCCATTCCACCTACATCCCACTTGAGAGTACAGCCTAAGTCCCACGACTGCATGCAGCCTGGGTCCAACGACTGCATGCAGCCTTTCTACCACCCCTTGAAATATAGTCTGTACCGTGACCTGTGGATTTTTCCTGTTTGTGGATTAAGAAAGCACCCTTTTTATTTCTGTCGGTAGTCTACAAACATATTTATAGCCTGGCTATATTCAGGGCCCCCGGCAAAAGCCAGGGTGGGGCTTAATGTAACGAAAAATTGCTTCCCGCATGGGGACGACTGATATATTATAACATATTTTTACCTTTTTGACTAACTGACTTTTTACCCCACCACGACATGACACAAGCGATAAACACCCGATGACACAATGTGCCACCATGTGGATGAGGATCACCGTGGAGAGGTCCTAGAAACCGCGTTCAGCCATTAGGCCATATTTATGGCCTGGCTATATTGCGGCCACCGGAAAGAGCCAGAGTGGGGCTTCAAATAACGAAAAATTTCATCCTAAAAAGGACGGTGAATAGTATAGTAGTATTCTTTTTTTTCAGAGAGAAAAAAAAAAAAGGCCTTGAGCATAACTAACTAATTAACCATACATTTTGAGAATACCTATAGAAAGAATGATTGATTTTAAATCATTGAAATCTCACGGTGATTCATTGACTCTACTAACTCATTTGGTAATGTTAAACATTAACAATTAAAATAATTAGACGTCTGGAAAACTTAAACCTTCATATCAAAGATATAATATTATTAATTGTAAAAGCCAAGAGTCTTGTAGGTAAACATGGCACAGTACCAGGCGAAGGAAAGCGACACTGAGTATACAGTGGAACCTCGCTTAACGAGCATTATTCGTTTCAGAATCATACTCGTTAAGCGAAACACTCGTTATGTGAAACAATTTTTCTCATATTAATTAATGTAAAATGCGATAATTCGTTCCATGTCGAAAAAGATACTCACAAAATTCTATGTGTAACGTTTATTCAAAGAAAATATTATATACATATTGTTAAGTAGAGCGGATCATCTTCATCTTGTCATCAAACGCGGAACGAACCCACCTGGAATGCGAATTCGATTTGCAGAAAAAAAAGTCGAAATAATTATGATACATAGCTAATTATTATATATATATATATATATTTTTTAACTAGAAAGATGTCCAGAGATTTGTTTTTGCCGACGCTTCAAAATTTGGCGAAAATGCGACACAGCATTATCATTAAATAAATTTGCAACGCGCATACCCACTTCCTTATTATTGCGATGCTTCTCAATGAAAGGTACAACAGTTTGCCATGCTTTCAGCATTTCTCTTATTTGGCCAGAAAATTATTGTTTTTCTATTACCTCCTCCTCCTCTGACAAACTTCCTCCAAAACGCAGCTCTTGGCTGTGCTCTTCCACGAGCTCTTTGATATCATTGTTATCCACCTACAACCCAACGAATGTGGCCAAAGACACAATCTCGTTGACTACAGGTTTCACTGTCTCGAACTCCTCAAAGTCACAAATAGACAACACTCTCCGGCCAAATTTTCTTCCAAACAGAAGTTAGGATTCTCTTGGTAACCCCTTCTCCCGCCTTGTCGATCATCTTGAGGCAGGCAATGATGTGGAAGTGATTTTTCTCCAAAACTCTTTGAGAGTGAGGTTGGTCCTTTTTTCACTGTGATCATTGTGCTAAGTTGGGTTTCTACTTTGAAATCACCTGGGACTAAAAGAGTTAATCCCTTCATTTACAGTGTTGAATGTTGATGTATGTTTAGTGATTCTCTGCTGGTTTCTTCTAAAGATGTGTCCAATGTAGTGCAAAAATCTCTGAATTATAAAGAAATGCGATGGGAAAAGTGCGAAAACGAGAGACCTTAATAAAATGCGAAGGAAGGTAATTTTTTTTGAACTTCCCTTAGAAACGAGAACAATGGCCGATGGTATGCTTGTTTTTTAGTTTTGTTAATGTTATTCTTATAATGTAACTTAAAATTTAAGGAGTACATATAATTTATTTACGTAATAATAATTTAAATAGTGTAAATTTAAATTATTCAGAGAATGGTGCATTTTTCTTGCAGTAAATATTGAATTCGAGCCTTAGCGATGCATTTTTCCCTTCTCAGAGAGTCAACTCTCACTCTCAGTACTCTCAGTTAACTTCTTAGTATTTACATTTTCGAATAATAAATGTAAATGCAACTGCCATTATACGATTTGATTCCACTTATAAATAATAAATGAAATCCAGTGAATGCTGAATTTAGAATCGACATTACAGCACCCCCATAGCCATAAGGCTCATAAGTGCTCCGTCCCCATCTTAAGCAGCAAGTGCAAGCGAACTTCGAAGAGTTAAAATTCCGATGGTACCAGTAACTATCTGATTGTATATCCGTCTCGTCTGGCCTTTTCCCTGAGTGTGAAATCCAGTGATACATCATTCAAGCCTCTGCATCAGTCCTTAGCTGAGATATGGTAAATTATATAAATAATAGATTAGAAGACTAGAGGAAGAGACTTCTTCAGCACTTTCAAACATGCATATTTAGTTTACTGTAAGTGTAAGCTGTAACATGTTGTTTGCTAGACATATTACCTTAGAAACCATAGCGTATGTCACTATGTTCGTGACAACAAGACCTAAGAGAATACATCATTATTTGTTAAATATGTTAATTTACATCATACATATTATTCGAACTTTCAACTTGGTCCAGTACAGCTTTCAACAAAACTGCCCAACTTTGTGTAAAAATTGTTACAGAATAAGAATTTTAAAGAAATTTCTGCTCTCCTCCGAACTTCTACCCAATATTATGGCGGCAATAAAATATCCTTACAGGGCTCAGGCATATGTAAAATGCGGACTTTCTGCCAAGAAACAAATCGATACAAAACTAGGATTACTTGGCAATTTCAAGCGACGCAACATTGCAGACAATAATAGCGACCGTTGACAATTTTGAGCGTTTCTGCAGACGATAATAGCGACCATTGACAATTCCGAGACACACAATATTACTGACGATAAAAGCGACATGGCGGGTAGACCACGTACGCCGATGCAGATTAGCGTCGTTGTTGTCATCAAACTTTTCGGCATGCGCAAAACGCAGTTACACTCACCGCCGACAGTATCCCCCGCGCTGTGTAGTTGCACCATTTATGCACAGTCAAATTGAAAGCAATAGTTTTCTTCCAACACAAGATAGTTTGCACCTGACAACTGTCGATATTCTCTAGACTGGCTTCTAAATTACCTGTTTGTATTTTCCCCAAAAGTAAGATTTCCACATTGAAAGTAGAAAAATAATAAACAGCCAGTTCTAAAAAATTCAAACTACTGACTAGACATAGTGACACACAATCACAACATGACTGTCTCCTGTGAATTTAAATTGATGTTATCAAACAGCAAATTTTGAAAATCTTGTATATCCACTTCACAATATCTGCTTGTTGATTTGTAATACATTCAGAACACAGAACTTTGTAAGCACATTAAAATGTCACACAATGCATCACATGGAAACGGCTTCCAAAAACCATTTTTTCGAGGGAGTCACTGCCAAAATCTCACATGATTAGTTGGACCGACTATTTATAGCTTAGAAAGGCGTGTAAATAACATACAACAGATTATCTAGAGAAATAAGCAACACATTGAAAATGAGAATTGTATGACACATGCGCGCGCACACATGCACTCGCATAATAATCATCCCTAATAATATGATGAAAAACTGACACTGTAAGAAATCAGAAAGTTAAAAAAAGTCCCGGATTTGAGGCTTGGTTTATTCAACGAATAAACAGCACAGAGGGGGGTGTTACCCATAAGTGCCCCATAAATACTTCTAACTCAAGCCTGAGCCAGAAGTATCTCAGCGCAGTGCATGAACTCCGTTACACCATTGAGGATCCTGAAATACTTTGGGTTGATTTTTAACTCCATATTTTGCCTGGGCAGCGCCGTTAGGTTACTCTTTTTTAATTTCCAACTGCCAAGGAATTTTGTAAATATTTTTTTAAACTTGCGCAAGAATACACACGGGCATCCAATCTTATTACCCAGAGACCAGGGGAAGTTACTAGAAGTCCACATGCACACAAAAAAAACCGGCCTTCGCTGGGGTTTGAATTCGGGGCTCCAGCACTTGAGGCAGATGTCATACCTTGAGACCACTCAGCGAGCAGGAATTGAGGCTGTTTGGATGTAGATATGCAGAAGAACATGTTGCATTTCATGAAAACTAAAACTAAAATACAAAGGTTCTCAAGAGACTAGGAATGAAACAAAACATGGTGTTCAAAGAAAACAAATAAAATAGAAGCATGAACTATTTCAGCCATATTAATAGGATCTTATAAAACCCTGTACTTAGGTTAAAGTTGAGTGAGCTAGAGTTAGTGACCAATACAAATAGAAGGAGATATAGAGAATCAACAAACAAATGAACTGTATTTTAAAGGGGTTAAGAATTGGGCATACAGGCCCATCTTACATTCTGGCTTCATTCATCGGTAAAATAATGTTAATAATTTACATTTTACATAAAGACATGCTCTATGCAGAGTGGCAAGCATTATTTCAGAGGTCTCCAGTGGTTAGTATTTTTAGGATATTTTCCCCTATGGATGCAGGTATGTTGGAAAACAAACAGGCAGACATATTGACTAATTCTGCACCACTGGACGGGTTTTGAATTGATACTTGACAAGCTAGAGGTGAGAGCCCTTTGATGGCCCTTTGAGAGCCATTGAACCATGAGGAAGTGCGATCAGATCATTATGGTCTGGAGAGAATGGTGCAGCAGGGAATCTGCCTGATATTCTACACTCATAGGGAAGGCAAGATTCACACAAAATCAGAGTGCTGCTTGTACCATCTGTACTAGAACTCTTTGCTGGCTACTGAAGATGAGGATGAAGCACTTATGGAAATGTCCAGAATGCTGTGATGTCAGTTGTTAGCTCAGCTCTGAACTAACTGTATTACTGGTTTCAGTACTAGTCTTCTAATTTGTGTTTCAGTTTTAATGTTACCTCTTCTATAAAAAAATAAGGAGACATAATAGGAATGTCTTTGTCTCATGTCTTGTTTAAGTAAACTGCAGTCACACATTCAGATTTGTATTGATTTATGAATTTGAGTTATTTTTGTGAAGCCATCAATCATTTCAGCATTTTTTTGTGGTACTTTCAGATTCAACACGACCTATATCTGTGGATCTTCAGTTGAATGATGGAGAGTCTCAGGATGTTCCTGACAATATACAGGTATTTTTGTTGCATTATTGCATTCAGCCTACATTTAAAAAATCTTTTTTAAAGCTATGTGAAGAATTTCCTAAAATCAACTAACTAAATCATGTCACCAAATTACTGAATTATAATGAGAAGAACAAATTGATTTTGATTTGATTTGATTCAACAACCAACATCACAGCACTCGGGGCATTCCCATAAGCGCTCCGTTCCTATCTTCAGCAGCCAGCGAAGAGTTCCGATACTAATGGTGCCAGTAGCATTCTGATTAAACGTCCGTCTTGTATTTATTTTGAGCCTCGAGCGTCTGCCAGAACCTCTCGTCACCCCCCAACTAAATCCACAGAAGGACAAAAAGAAAAATAAGTGTTTCTGAGACGAATGTTACAAATACCTTGGACAGCTAGAGTAACTAATAACGATTGCTTGAAAGAGGCTAATGAAAGTAGATCTCTATATACAACAATAATAAATAGACAGACACTGTTCTTTGGTCACATAATGAGAAGAGAGACATTGTAAATTATCGTGACAACTGGAAAGATCAGTGGAAAAAGGGGTAGATGAAGACCAAGAGAGATGATGCTGGATGGGCTGAAATGATGGCATGAAGGGATATCCTCAGGAGAGCTGTTGCAGGCAACCAGGGATCGTGATCTTAGGAGAAGCATGAGCGCCTACGCCAGTTGGCAGGGCACACGATGATGATAATGATTTAAAGCTTTCTTGCATTCTCTGTTTATTTTCTTCTTCTTCTTTTGTCCTGCTGTTTATGCTGTAAAGCATTGCACAGAGGACTTAAATGTAGTGTCTTGTCTTTTGCTTGGTGCCCAGCTTGTGTTAATGTCATACTGCATTTCTGTAATGCCACTGCACCAAAAATCAATCTTTGTTGTATCCAAGAAAAGTGAAGATATCAGAGAAACATCTTTACAGACCCTGGTGTTAACAGTTATAAAGTAAGGAATGTGGTGATATACAGTGCATACCGCTTAAGTCAGCGGTTCTCAACTTGTGGGTGGCGACCCTTTTTTTTGGGTCAAACAACCCTTTCACCAGGGTCGCCAAAGACCATTGCAAAACACATATTGATTGAAGTTATGTAGTAGCAACGAAAATAATTGTATGTTTCCGGGCCGCCACAACATGAGGAACTGTATTAAAGGGTCGCGGTATTAGGAAAGTTGAGAGCCACTGACTTAAGGTCATTTCGGATGTGGCAAATTTCTGCTGATGAAGAACAGTTTGTTCGTTCCCAGCAATTACCATATGCCTGAACTCTTATCTGCATAAGAGGAATTCAGGGGTCTTCGTGGCAAAGAGGTCAAGTCATTTGTCTCACGGTCTGAAGGTCGTGTGCTTGTTCCATGGCTGCAACCTTCAGTTTACAAGCGTAATTTTTACCGAGACCCCTGGGGATCATCGCCGGAGCGACGGAGTTCATGATGTGTGCGGCGCTCTGGGCAAGTGGCAAGCTATACTGCAGTGAAAGACCAAGGTATATGGGATAAAACCCGGTGCATTGAAGTCGATGAATTCGACTTTATCCTTTTGACTTTTTTGAGGAGTTTATGAAATGTAAAACTATTTTTCGGGTCCCTCATGAGTTCTTATCATGTCTGCACTGTATTGAGGGGAAGCAGACATAGAATCACTAAACAGACATTGAAATGGGAAACAGATGGATCAAGGAAACAAGGACATCCAAGAGAAACGCTAAGATGAACATTGACAAGACAGGCCAAAGGTGTCAAACCTGATTCCATTGTAATATTGATAAGATTGCACAAGAGGAGTAGACTGAGCCTTGTGTGGTGTATTAAGGCGCAGCATAATGCTTATTAAGCAGGCGTGATCGCACCAAAAGAAACCCTAAAATGAACATTGATGAAAGAGGCTAAAGTTGCTAGACCGGATTCCATCCGTGACATTGAATTGACAGCACAGGATAGAATTGAATGGAGAAATAGACTGTGAGCCAAGGTCAATAATAATGATACTTATGCTGTCAAGAAGAATTTTTTTTGAATAACTAAAACTGTTGCACTGTATGATGTGATTTAACAGAGTTATTCATGTTGTTCTTTGACTTTAAAAACACATTGTATAGTTTTATGTGTTTTCAGGGATGTATATATTTACATTATCTAGAAGTTAGGTTGAGGCTATTTACCATATTTTTTCCATGTAGAGGACACCACTTTGTATGATATTACCCATATTTTTACTGTATTGTTCCATGTAGAGGACACCACTTTGTATGATATTACCCATATTTGTACTGTATTGTTCTGTGTAGAGGACACCACCTTGTATGATATTACCCATATTTTTACTGTATTGTTCCATGTAGAGGACACCACCTTGTATGATATTACCCATATTTTTACTGTATTGTTCCATGTAGAGGACACCACCTTGTATGATATTACCCATATTTGTACTGTATTGTTCTGTGTAGAGGACACCACCTTGTATGATATTTCCCATATTTTTAAAACCGAAAATGAAGACATAAATATTGTATACATTTTCCTACTTGTGTAAGATGACCCCCAATTTTTAACTGAAAAAAACAATTTTGGGAAACGTATTCTCTTATGCGGTGAAATTCCTGTCTGGCTTCTGTGGCCCCATTGTGGAGGAAAAATAGACCCTCTGCCCCCCAACAAGCAGGTTGTAAGTCGACTAATTAGGGATGTTTCCTTTGAAGCCAGAATGCATCTGCCAGAAATGCAAAGAACCAATGGTTTGCATACAAATAATCCAGATCTGTAAAACGGATGTGCAAGCAAAATTCAGCTTCTGGAACAAGACCAACGTCTAGACGTGGCCGAACAGTCAGAACTTTCTGCCTGAGTTAACACAAGGTGGACGCTAAGAAGAAGAGAATGCATGAAGAAATATAGCCTGCTGTCTTTGTGAGGTTCTTTTTATGGACTAGCTTTTGTTGTTTCTGCAGAGGGACATGAGTAATACAAGTATTGAGGGGAAGTCATGAGATCAGGATGCTATTGATTGTATTTTCAGTGGTAGGGGAGGGAGGGGGAACAGGGTTTTAAGGCGATAATGGGTGTGGACAGGTAAAGAGCTGCTAAGAATCTGAGAAGAAATATGTCAGACACATGTACTGGCAACAGTGGTCCTGAAATCTCATCAACTTTTTGTGGAAGTTTCTTTTTAATAACTTTTTGTTTCTAAACTATGCAGAATTAGGCAGTCTTTTTTGTCTAAATCTGGTCCATTTAAGAACCAAGTATGAAAACGTCAGCGAATCAGCGAAACTGTTGCTTTCTTTAAATGTATTTGATTGACGGGTGATCTATAGATTCTAGTTTACTGCTATTTTACTGATTAATGTTAAAACAAATGTTTTTTTTGGTTTTTTTACAGAAAATTATCAACAGTGAAAAAGAGGCTTCTGAAATTCCAAGTAAAAGAGCCAAAGTAGATCTGCAGTCACTTCCGACGAGAGCCTACTTGGACCAGACTGTTGTGCCTATCCTCTTGGCAGGCATGTCAGTATTGGCAAGAGAGAGGTAAGAAGCTCAAATGTAGTAAATGCAGGAAAGGGAAATACAGAAGATGTGGTGCATATTGGGAAAGGTAGATATGAACAATATGTTGCATGTGGGAAAGGTAAATATAGACAATGTGGTGCATATAAGAAAGGTAAATATAGACAATGTTGTGCATGTGAGAAATGTAAATATAGACAGTGTTGTGCATGTGATAAAGGTAAATATGGACAATGTGGGGAATTTGAAAAAGGTAAATATGGAAAGTGTGTTGCATGTGAGGAAGGTAAATATGGACAACATGGTGCATGTCGGAAAGGTAAATATTGAAGATGTGATGCATGTAAGAAAGGTAAATATTGAAACTGTATTGCTTGTTGGAAAGGTGAATATTGAAGATGTTGTGCATGTGTGAAAGGTAAATATGGACAATGTGGTGTATTTGAGAAGGGTAAATATGGACAATATTGTGTATGTGAGAAAGGTAAATATGGAAGATATGGTGCATGTGGGTAAGGTAAATATGGACAGTGTGGTGCATGTGGAAAAGGTAAATATGAACAATGTGGTGCATGTGAGAAAGGTAAATATGAAAGATATGGTGCATGTGAGAAAGATAAATATGGAAGATGTGGTGCATGTGAGAAGGGTAAGCATGGAAGATGTAGTGCATGTGGGAAAGGTAAATATGGACAATGTGAGAAAGGTAAATACTGAAGATGTGGTGCATGTTGGAAAGGTAAATATGGACAATGTGGTGCATGTGGGAAAGGTAACTATAGAAGATGTGGTGTATGTGAGAAAGGTAAATATGGAAGATGTGGTGCATGTGGGAAAGGTTACTATGGACAATGTTGTGCATGTGAGAAAGGTAAATATGGACAATATGGTGCATGTGAGAAAGGTAAATCCTGAAGATGTGGGCCATAAAAGATGATTAATTAAAGATTTGTTAAGATCTGATGTTTTGAGTGAAAGGTGCAGATATCACAACCTAGCTGTAAACTGCAAAACAGTCTTGTCAATTGCTATTTTAAGAGTCAGTGCAGAAGAATTGAAAACAAATAATTGTTTTGTGAAATATAGCCATGTTTTCTTTATTCTTATTTTAGACCACCAAACCCAGTGGAGTTTCTTGCTGCATATTTACTAAAGAACAAGGACCAGTTTGATTAAATCTCCATCCCATCATATATGCAACACAAGACACAAACGCCTGCTGTAATATACGATCATGCTCTTCAGGAGTGTGTGTTAAAATGTATTGTAAGAAAGGGCACTTAATAAGTTTTCACTTTATCAGTATGTTAAAATATATTGTGTGAAATGCCACTTTATAAGTTATCACTTTATCAGAGAGACTTCATAATAGATGAAATGTAAGACAAGACATTTCTTCTTCCTCTCTGCTCTTTTACTGTTGGATGTCGAGAGAGAGAGAGACGGTTCTTCTTCTGGTCATCTTGACCATAGACATATTCTGCTGTTATAGAGTTTATCTGATGTTATCTATCCATTTTTTCCTTAGTATACATTGTCCTCTAGATTATTCTCCTTGTTTTTGTGAACGCCTTGTGTTGAATGACATCACAAGGCATTGTCTTTCTAAGGGGGCAAACCATTTGATTTGCTGTCTTTGTATGTAATTTAGAATTGGTTTTGTGTCAACTTTTTCTCTTACGACTTCATTGCTGATTCTGTCTCTCCTGGTCACTCCTACATCCCTGCTCAGACATTTGATTTTCATTTTTGGTGTGTTGTGAGTGGCCATGTTTGGCACTAGTGGCATAGAGTAGGAATGAATATGCAAATCTTTTTCTTCTTCTCTTCCACCTTGTACCACATCGAAGTGTTGGGGGAAGATGTAACATTCGTTGATGAGCTCTGTCAAGAGCACTATTAAGACTGATGTTCATTTCTGTAAGGCTGTTCTTAATGCCATCACTCCATGTTTTCTGAAGTCTTCCTCTCGCTCTATAGCCGTTGTAACATTTTAGCGTGGCTCGCTGTGGCAGATAGTACCAGGTCATTCTTCTTAGGTGTCAACAACACTTCATTTATTGTTCCTTGATGACTTGTAAGTCTGATTTTATTTCTTGCATTTGTCTGGTTTCTTGATTTCATATTCTGTCTTTCCTTGAAACTCCTGCAGCTCTTCTAAAACATTTCATCTCTCTTGTCACAATTGTATGTTCATTGGAGGATGTAAGTGTCCATGTTTGGCACTGATAGTGTTGGCCAAAAAATAGTTGTGATAAGATTCACTTTAGTACTCCGAGGTATCTGCTTGTGTGTCAACAGGGGAGATATTTGCCTCATTACTTGATTAGCAAATACTGACTGTAATATACAATCATGCTGTTAATTAATGTATTGGATTTGATGTGTTAAAATATATTGATGTAATGGCAATTCGTTAGTTATCATCATTCATTCATTGTCCTTGTGTGCCATTATATGTCACATAGGGCTGACAGTATATTTCTCCATTCCGCTCTGTCCTGTGCAATCTCTTTGCTATCATGAATGGAATCCAGCCAGCACCTTTGGCTTGTCCCCTCAGTAGTTATCATCAACTGATAAAGTTGAAGTTGTTTCTGTCAACGTAAAATTCATGTCATTATATTTTCATTGGGCCACTTATATTCACATAATATAGTGAAATTGTTTTACATGCTAAAGATTTTCTAGTAATTCTTGTGATAATCAGACATTGCCAGTTGTAACCTTTAGTGATGAATAAATTGTTTGCATAATTTATCAAATATTTGTGATTCTTTGTAACCTGGATGTGTTTATGTAGGTTTTACTTGTATGTTGCTGGCAGTCTTAACTCTTTTAGTCCCAGGAATCTTACCCTGTGTTTATTCATTACTTTATAAACACAACTGCACTCTTCTTTACTGCAGTGACATTTGGTCAACTTATTCATACCAGGAGAAACTGCTAACTAACTTTTACATGCAATGCCTGAAAGATTGCTTGGCATTAAGTGGCAAAATTAAATCACAAACACTAAATTACTGGAAAGAGCAAATATCATAACAGCCTTCTTAAAGCTGAGTCTATGAAGGTTTAGGTCGCTGGGTCGCACTCAAAGACTGAAGGATGGCAGGTCCCGAAAGACATCCTCTGTGGTGAATTACAGAGGGTAGATGATGTCGAGGTCAGTGTCTCCTACGATATAAAGATTTATGCAAGCAGTACATGAATGATACAGGTATTGAGGTTGATTCATGGAAACAAAGTGCCAAGCGCCATGTATCGAGGTGGAAAATCAGAAAAGAAATGGCAATGAAGGAAAACATGATTGCAGATAGATTAAGAGCTCAGCATCTGAAAAGAAGCATACTAAATACATGTGATGGTAACAATGGTCCTGAAATCCCATGGTCTAATTTTGGTTGCATTTTCTCCATTTTCTCAACATATGCAGGTCTTGTTAGTCACACTCACCGTCACCATAGGCTATGATTCCTATGCCTCCCCATAGCACAGTATAACGCTTGTCTTGAAGGATGGAGAGGTGCCAGCCAAATATGCACTGTAATGATGCTATAAATAGGGATAACGTCAGGGGATGACTGGCATAATTGGGCAAGTCCCTGATAGCATGGGTTTCACAGAGATATGGTGAAAAGACAAAAGTGAGTGAGTCACGTGTGAATGCGAGATCTGGGGGATTGAGAATGAGGTGGTCATTCGGTGACTGGGCCCCAGATTGGAAGGATGTGAATCTGTGTAGGTGAATCCAGAATGAAGAATGCACGTGGATCTGAATCAGAGTCGAATGAATGTTAGTACTGAACGTCAAGACAGGCAGCGCTATTGAATGATCGTTTAGGCCAGCCGTTGTGTTACACGGTTTGTTTGTTGAGCCAGTCGTGTACATGCCAGTGTCCATCGTCTAAAGCATGTCTGGAGACTCAATGCTTAAGCAAGGCGAGATTGCCCAAATGGCGTAACTTAGTTCATCTGTTGATTTGTGTCTTGACAATATACCTGTGAAATGTGTCAGCTGGTGTCGACCGTCTTTTGAAGTTGTGTGGCCGTGGAGAGAAGTGCCGTCTGGTTAGAATGAACTGTGACCTACCATCTAGACAACAGAGTCAGTGTTTAATCTGCACTAGAAAGATCAAGTGTGGAGGAGACACATTACATTCATTACATGCACCATAGGTTTCTTCACTTCCTCTGTTACTCTAAGCTTAATTACTTGGTCGACAGATTATCCTTACTGCACATCGAACCATTTAGTCCATAAGTGCTTAGATCCCAATCCTCAGTAAATCCGTGCAGCTTGTAACAGCCGATGACACCAGTTCTGTGGTGGTGTCTCATTCTTCTTTGGCTTCCTGCAAAGTGCTTGTGTCTGGCCACACCCTTTTTTTTAAACATGTTCTTGCAGTCTAGTCATGGTTGCATATTCACAGTCATCACTCAGTTCTCGCAAACGTTTTACTTCTCGTAGAGGATTCAGAATATAAGCCTGGTCCATGGCTCATCCACCCTCCAGAGTAGCTTTTCTTGTAAGCTTGCCCATTTTCTTGCACGTCTGCATGCCTTGGTGTGAATGTTAAACTGATATTTGTCAGTTGTGACCGCTTCAGACACTCCAGTCACCGTCTTTAGAGTTGTGACCGTGTCAGAGACTCCAGTCACTGTCTTTGGAGTTGTGACCGCTTCAGAGACACTCAAAACTGTTGATTTTTCTAAAGTTTTAACGAATTAGTCTCTACTTAATCGTCGGACTTTGTAGGGTGATAATGGTTCTCTAGCCATAACGTTCATTTTACGGTCCATAATTGTGGTAATGTGATCTTTAAAAGCCGCCCCCCTTTGGAATGTAACTTTTTGTTTGAAGCCCCACCCTGGTTTCTGACGGGCGCCCTGAATATAGCTGGGGCATAGATATGGCCTAACCATAGATATGGCCTAACGACTGAAAGGGGTTTCTGTGACCTCTCCACGGTTGATCCTCATCCGCATGGTGGACTTTGTGTCACCAGGTGTTTATCGCTTGTGTGACGTCTTGGCGGAGTACAACTACCTACCTACCTGACATTTGTTTATGATACTTATTCCTGGAGTTGTTTTTTTTAAATAAAGGATGCAATGGAAGGGCGAACCCTATCGTTATACAGCCAGCCATTCTACACCAGCAAACATGGCTACAAAATGTGTGGTAGAGTCTACCTGAATGGTGATGGCATCGCTCAGGACACCCATCTGTCATTATACTTTGCTATTATGAGAGGAGATTACGATGCACTTTTACCCTGGCCATTTCAGTGCAAGGTAAATTTATTCATAACATGCCAGTTTAAACATATAAAATTTAGTATAATTTTAAAGGTCAAGTCGAAAGAACCGACTTCATTGCACTGGGTTTTGATCCAATATGAATCCCTGCGGAAGCGATTTAGAAACTGACATAAGCTGTCACGTAGGAATCAATGAATGAACGAATGAATCAGGAAGTGATATCATTGCACTCGAGACATTCCAATATGTGCTCCCTCTCTTTCCACAGTAGCCAACTAAAAGGCGACATGCTAATAATACTAGTTGAAACCTGAATAACCATCCTCCCCGTTTCCCCATCAGTGTTAAATATCTCCCAGAAGCTATATTCAACCCCCCCCCCCCCCCCAACCCTTTTGGATGATTTTTTCAACGTATGGATTCCATGTCTTTTTACTGCACTGTACATTTGATCCCAGAGAGCATTCACAAAGTTCGCTTTACAATAAAGTAGCTCACCGCCCAGAGGGACGGCAGCGGCCAGTTTAGCAGGCTGTTCATTACTCTGCACACTTGAATTTCCTGGACAGAAATTCCACGACAGACCCCTTTCCGGTAGGCCTATTCTAAAATGGGTATTAGACAATGTGACAGCAAGAAGATTCAGCTGGCGGGACATTAATAACATTGCTCACCAACAACTGTTTACATATACAATTTTGCGATTGGCACTATATGCGGAATAAACATCAAGATGTAGAAATTCTTACATAAGTTGCTACCTATAAACTGTTCTTACTCAGTTCATTCACTAAGGGTCTCAGCTTCCATCTTCAGCCTTTATTAAACAAAAAATACAATCGCACGGATATTAGTCTGGTTACATGTCTATGTGTGTCAGCTATTCTGATTAAACAGCGGCAACAGAGCTT